CGTGGTAAGCGGAAAAATGTTGGAATCTTGACCCTCTGAAGCCCCAATTTCCTGCATTTTGCCGGACAAATTTTGCTGGTTGACTGAGATTAATTTTATTAAACCTGTTTCTATATCATTGAAGGATGATGTCTGTTAGAAGATGAAGGGACGCTGGCTAGAACACAGTGGCATCACTGTCAACAATTTTCAGCAGAATTTGTTGTTCGGCAGAGGGTTGACAAATTTCAAAATCGCAGCTTACTGCATTTCAAACTTTTTCCTTACGGTTTGTCTTCAACATCATAACAACAAACATCTTTCAAAAGTACCGGGGTAGGTCAAGAACAAGACTTTCTATGTTTTTTTCTTCTCAATAAAACTTCTATGTGGAGAAACTTAGACTCAACAAGTGATTGGACCACATTACAATTAACCAGTTGAAAAATTAACAGTACTTTCAATTGTATTTCTATGTTTGCATTCCAGTACTCTAAATGCACATTAGACTAGCACCCATTATACAAATAACTTCAATACAATTGTGTTAATTATTTGGGGTTATGGTCACATGTACTGTACAATCAGCACAATTTAGTCACGATAACTACAAAGTTGATTGCACAATAAAGTTTCAAAATCAATGCGTGTGCGGATGTCATCCATAAAATTAAGTTGGTGTGGAATTATCACTCACACTACACCAGGCCATGCCTGTGCAGTTGAAACCACAAAGCCGTGTTACTGTATTCTACCCTACCCAACTGTTATTTTTCATTGCCATGCTTTGCTTTTTTTCCTTTTCTATATCACACCATAATACAGACAACTAAGTTTGTTACATTGTTTGTCAATAGAAAATAAGTTTTGCAACAATTTCTTAATTAAAATGATTCAACAGATGTACATGTTGTTGGATATGAAATCTAAAGGAAAAACCTTCATTTTTTTAGGTTCTGTCATCAACGAATGTAAAAAAAAACACCAAAGGAATACATAAATACCAGCCCCCTGTTGCTATACATCATATTATATAAGGATATAGGGCAAAAAGGTGAATAAATAACACCATGCAGATAGTGTAGATTGACATGTAGGTTAAGGTAAAACAAACCTGGTCTCCCATACCGGATCCGAGAACGTCCTACATGGGTGATATGAAGCATGCATGTCTATGGTTGGCTCACCACACACTAGTACAAGTAGTTTTCTTAAAGCTGCATTATGTAACATTAGGATGATACAAAAGGTCAATTCTGTCATGTTTGTTTACGTTCTGGTATTTCGTGGTGGTGCCACAAAATGAGTTCGCCTCATGTGGGCTGTTTTAGTACCAACCCTTAATGTCAACAATGTGTGATAATTGCACTAAGATTTTTTAATTTGTTACATAAAGCCGCTTTAAAAGCTAACATACAATGACACATGGTCTGGTAAGACCCAACTGTGCTGAAGGCATGCTTATGGCAAATCTATTTCTACACATGCAGAAAAATACTGGCTGGTAGGGCTCAAAATATTTAAACACACTGGTTATATCCTGTATTCAACAAGTAATAGATACTCTGAAAGCCTGAGGTAGTCATTCTTAATGTTGTTGTATGTATAAATGTATAATAAAAAATATTATGTTAACGACAGTAAACAACGTTATTTCAGAGTTCAAGTTGCAATATGTGGTTTTATAAAAAAAAACATTTTGAGCCAGCCTTCTCAAAACAAGCCGGCTACCGGCGAAAATCGCCGCCTACTCAAATTTTTGCGCCGGCTACTTTCGTCAAAATTTTCAAATTTTTGCGCCGGCTACTTTCGTCTAAATTTTCAGAAAAACAAGTAAGCTCCGTTACATTTTCTCACAAACTTCACCGGCTCATTTCTTCTGACGAACTTCAGACAAATTTCTGCTAGCTTTCTGGATCTGAAAACTGCTTCTTTCTTAGCCTCCTGTGCAGATTTCTAGAGCACGAGTCAGCGTTTGCTTCTACGAGCGGCCCGCGGCCGGCCAGAGCGGCCGAAACTTTACGGGGGGAGGGTCTTGTTCGGGGCTCGAGTTGTATCCGCGGAGCTGTATCGCTCGAGCTAGGCGGAACTTACTTCGTAAACTCGTTGCTCACGAAAATTTATCAAGCCGCTACCTTCCCAACTTCTCCCGGCACTAGTAACATTCCTGCTACAAATAACTAGTACAAATCACGTCAAAAAATATCAAGACATGTATAGAAGCGTGTTCATATCTTTCATACACAGAGACAAATTTTCAAAAACAAATCGCCATCAGCGAGATTTCACAGCTGTTTCATTCATCAAAAGTTCTTGTCGATCGTAAAATGATCACTCATCTGTTGTCTCCACTAGTGTGGCATTTGTAGCTTAATCACGGCTAGCCAAAAATCAGCGTCAAAACCCCGGAATAAAAACACGCACACTCCGCTTCGCTGTACAAAAACAGGAGCTTTCAGGCGCCATCTTGTCATGAATATTAAGTAGCAGCGTGCGATCGACGCTGTGATTGGTTCACCTCACATGACCTGCATTCTGATTGGATAAGCGATGTGGCGAGCAGCCGGCAGCGCGGGAAGATTTTTCTTCGCCGGCAGGCTCTCGCCGGTGAAGAAGAGACACATTTACGCTGCTTTCTACGTTTTTTCTACGACTACTAAGCAACATCCTATTAAAGAAATACATAATCAAAAGAATTTTCGGGAAGATGTATATTTCTCTACGCCGATTTTTGGCCATTTTCTCGTAATTTTCTTGTTCAAGGAACCCGGAAGTCAGTGTACCGGGACGCGGGGTGAATTTCCATAGGGCATTTATGGATCGCACCCCGCTAGAATTAAACCGTCAAAACAGAAACAAAACTTCCAAAAAGCGAAACTGTGACATTTTTTCACATCCCAATGATTATGTTTTCGATCAAATTGACATTTAAATATGCTTTCTTTATTTTTCTGCATTTTGTGGCCGGGCGCAAGGACCGCGCGTAATACGATCGGAGTGGCAAACAATTTTAATACAGCCTTTTTCCGAAATTTATTTGTGCACGAACAGTAAATTTTGGAGCCACAAGATTGCCATAAAAGCTGCTCAGAATGTACCAAAAACGATGTTTAGGGGTCAATTTTTTACGATTTCCTCCGGGGGAGGCCCCCCGGACCCCCCCAACCGGGACGGGGGGCCACCCCCCTCCCCGTACCCTCCCCCTGCGAGCCGCTGCGCGGCTCGCTTCGAGCCACTTCGTGGCTCGCCTGCTACTTTTTCTTATCAGCCACCTACTCTAAATTTTTTTGAGAAGGCTGTGAGCCCTAACAGCTATGTCACAGCACAATTACGGGGTTTCAAACTAATTTGCAAACATGTTACAAGATGCTAGAACAAGTTTAAAAGCCACAAACACAATCAACCTTTTGAAACTTGGATTCAAACAAAAACAAAAACTAGGAAGCTGGTGCGAACCAAAGTTGGTTTGAACTGTAACATTTCAAGTCAAATAGTACTCTGGAAGTCTGGAAGTGCTCTCATCCGGCTAGAAAATCCCGCCTTTTTCAACAACAGGACTTGAAATACTGGGTGCATGTGCACCTTGGTGCACCCAAATTTGGAGCTGTGCACCCAATTTTTTTCTGTGGGTGCACCAGTGCACCCAAATATTTTTGTCAGTATTTTTGTACATATCAAAACTATAATAGTATACAGGATATTCTTGGCATCTTAGTGTCAGAAAAATAATAATCTTTGTTGTAGTACTTCTTTAGATTCTGAAATTAGCTCCCAGTAACATCCGTAATTAGATTTTGTTTTATATGGTGCAACCAAAGGGTTTTTTGTGCACCCAATGTTTTTGGTTGGGTGCAAAACATTGGGTGCACCAGTGCGCCTATTCCCAAAAATGAATTTCGAGCCCTGAACAACCAAGACAGGATTAACATGGCACATGAGGCAAGACTTGAGTACTGGTGGTAATTATCCTTTACAATTGGCTGGAAACACAACATTTTGAAAGAGCAAAGGGTAGAAAACATAAAAATGAGCCAAACATGGGAATACAGTACATTACAGTACATATTTCTGGATCGGTAAGATGACAGATTTCAACATAGTAAGACTGGAGACAGGAGCTGCTACAAACCTTGCTGACACTTTCAGGAAAAAATGCTCCAAGTATGTCCTATAGGGGTGAATTGAACACAAGGCATGCAGGTTATATTCATTCATTATTGTCATCACATCACAGCACTCAATGTTCACAACATCAGCAGCATTCAACATGCATTTATCAAAGATTTGTATTTACAGAGAAATCGTTTTCTAGACTCGTAATTGTCAATGTTACGTCTATGTCACACGTTAAAAACACACACATTGGCAATCAATGCAAATCAGCAGGTTGCTTGAAGACTGTATGAAACTAAAGTATAGGATTTTCTGATTAAGTTCCACTGATAGTTTTCTTTATTTCACAAACATGGAAACATCTGTACTAAATAAAAAAAATATTATGCATCCTTTTCATGATCATGTTAAGCAACATCACAAATTTAAAAAAGTATTCTTTGGACTTCTTCTGAGTCTGTAATCCAAAATAATGATAATTAGGATCATGAGAGTTTTCTTTTACACAACCAAGCTTGTTTCACCTTGCTTACGTTTCAGTGTCTATCAGACACCTTCCTCAGAGCTTCTGACTGGAGTTCTGCTTCTTGCCACCATAACTGTATGTAGCCAGCACAAAAAGCTCTGAGGAAGGTGTCTAAAAGCCATTTTAAATTTGATTTTGATGGTGCTATATTCAATAGAACCAGAAGGGCACATAATTAGCACAAATGTGTGTGTATGTTGATTAAACAATAGTTGCTGAATACAAGAACATGTTGGTTTCATACAATCTTTGATCGTTAGTACTTAATTGAGGTAATTAACACACCTGGTCAGCCAGAGTTGCCCCCAGTACTTCCTACAGTGGGTGAAACAGGTGAAGGTAAGTAGAGGAAATATCAACTTTTAAACTGTATCCAAAGCAATTTCAGGACGGCAAAACTGGATTTTAAAGTCAATTTTCTGCTCATTTTTTAATAGTACGTTGAATCAACCCAAATGCCATATACTGATGCAAAAAATGCAATGTCGCTGATGGGAAACAGTTGTTTGTTTTGTATTGTAGGCTGGTTCTAGCTACTAGTATTCATTTGTGGTACCAATTCAAAATAAGTTTGTTTCGGGGCTATTTCAAATGCTCCAAATATCAATGATAATAAAAGTATGTGAAGAAATGGCAGTAAATATTAACAAATTTCCTCATTCAGAAGATTATTCCTTTGCCGCCCTGAAATTGCAATGGGTGCGTTTAAGTGGTAAGCAGTTAATATATAAATTATAATACAGAGCCAATAATGTTCAGGGCTTGACCAGCAGTAGTGTCTTTGTCAGCGAAAGACAGACCAAACTATATGATGTTTTGATTATTATGGTTGACAGTGTTGTGTATTGTTTCAATAGAAAGCCATTGAAAGTCAAGTACAACTTACTACAAGGTTTTAAATTCAACCAGTATTCAATCTAACAGTTATTCTACAGTAAGAATACTACTCATTATTTCAGTACATGCATCTTACTAAGTTCTCAATTTTTCATCCTTTGGAAATAATCATAAAAAGTACATTGTATATCACCTGGGGGGGTCCTGGATTATAATTCAAACAAACACCTCTATACTTACAGTCTGCTGTAGCTAGAAAGCATTTGAAGTCTTAACTTCACACATGAATACAGTACAGATCTCAAATAACCTCCCTTCCCACACATTTTACATGTGATTTTAATTTGTTGATTTCTCATGCACAACGATGGACAACCAGAGAGAGAGAGATTTCTCGTGCAAAAGTCCTGTTTAAATCATGAATGAAACTTTGAAAGCTGTGTAACACAATGGTTAGAACTTGTACAAAAGCCATGTAAGCTACATGAACTACTTAGCTGAAATCGCGTGTGGCTACATGATTATACTAGACATATACAGGCATTTTACACAAGCAATAACTGCGATTTAAACAGTTTTTGAATGTGTTATAATTGAGAAATGGACGGCTTTTAATCATGTTT